TATCGACCCTCTCTTACGTTAAGATCTAGAAGCAAGGGTTGCGGAAACAAATGCTGAGTAAAACTGGTTGGACTGCAAGAAACCTACGCCCCAGCGGCTACAAGGTTTTTGCTCACCAGCGTGATTAGAGTTTTTTCACCCGCACCTCAAGCTTTACAGCCTTAACAATGGAAAGGGTCGGAACATATTAATCTTTTTTATACAAAAAAAGGGAGAAGAGCCAAAAGTCTGTTCGGCCATAACAAAAGTTAAGAACTTGTCCACTTATTACAAGTTCGCCGCCTGGCCTATCTAACTAACTAATTCTTTGGGGGATGATCTTATCCTCTATCTTAGCAGATAAGTCCTGCGCTAGAGGGGCCACTTCCTTCTCGATGTCCTCCATCTTGACGTCGGAGTAGATGGGCGTGAAGCCCTGGCTCATCATCACCAGATCGATGTTCTCGTAATGAGAACGGGCGATCGCAAACGATCGGTGAACGCCAAAGCGAATCGCATCCCTCGCAATCTCACGCGCTCGATCTGTAATCCGAATGGTGCAAACTGTGTACGAGCTCGTCTCCTGCTCCGGGGCCAGTTCGAGGTCGTCAAAGACCAACTAGACGGCGATGCGTAGGGAATCATGCTTGTTGCTCTCCTTTAGGAGGGAGGCCTTCACCTTGTTGAGCTCCTTTCTAGGCCGCGACTCTTCATCACCTCTGTGCTGCGTCACATCGCCTCTCCGATAAACGTGTGCACGCCACCTCTGGCTGCTCCCTTGAAGGATGCTCTGGATGACAGTTTGCTCCATTCGATGGGCCAAGAACCGCCACAGGTAAGGAGGGATATGGAGCTGAAAATGCTCCCACAGCCAATTCACGCCCAGGAGTTCAAAGGTGGGCCCACCGATGGGTTCGCAACCGCTCCGGGGCACCTTTAGAGTGAGGGGTGGAAATGGATGGGCCTGCTAGCGGCCAGTATCCGGGCACACGAGCGCTGTAGGCATCCCAACCCATGTTTGAGTCTTGGTCGGTTCCTAGTCCATGGTTTTTCCTCAAAGAAAGGAAGCGAGCCCTTGGGACCGGTCGAACGGACCTAAGAACTATATGGATTGGCCACCAAGAATCTAGAGTCGGTCACCCGCTGACCTATGCCAGACCCCATGAACAGGAAGCTGAGGCCCCACTCGGACTAGCCCATTAACAACTCACCGAGCACCATGATTCGTTCATCGAGGAAAACATGGCACGGCTCAGCCCCTCCATTTTATCAAAAAAACGCTTGAGGGAGGACAATCGCAAGACGAGCTGACCCCTCGATCGGACCCCTACTATGCGTGGGGGCTCGAGGAAAGTTGGACTCGTAAGGAGAATGAATACACGGTCGTATGATGATGGCGGATCGATAGGATCCTAGGGAGGGATCAGAATCAAGAGAAATCTTTTTCGGCACCCCAAATCCTGTAGCTACATGTTCCTAGGGAGTCCGATCGCAACAGATGGGAATCACAACCCACCAAGGCATCCCGCGGGCAGTAGAAGATCGAAGCCCTCGAAGTCCCTCCATCCGAAAAAGCCTATGAAGGAGTATCCTACTCCTCCGTAGGCTCGGGGGCTACTGTCGGGTATCAGTATTAGGGATACCCAAAGAAGGGATCTGAGGACCGCGGACGATGACTCGCCTAGATAATCAAGGACATACTTCAGTCTCGACCAACCCCAAAAGGACGGTCTCTGTCTTGCCCGACTGTCGACAAAATCTTGTCGGCAGTCTACCGAGGGGTATACCCACGGTAGTAGATGAATTGGTGGAGGTGCGCATGATACGAACCAGATGGTAATAGAGACACAAGACACAAGATTTATACAGGTTCAAGCCGTCAGCTTGACGTAACACCCTACATCCTGTGCTCTGTTATTTTTTATTGATTGTGTATCAGATTTGATATCTCATCTAGGGGACCCCTGCCTCTCCTTATATACTCTGAAGGGGTAGGGTTACAAGAAAAATATCATATTTGGTATTATACAATAAATCACATCTTCATGTAGTCTTGCGGTGCACGCCTTGATCTTGTGGGCTGGGCCACATTTGGGGCGCGGCCCATGTCTTGTCTTGTGGGTACCGGGGGCCATACCCCCACACCGACCTTGAGGGCACGGGCCCCGTCTTGCCCGAACTCGATGGTACAGAAACCATCTCACCCGACCCTAACGGCACGAGCTCCTTCTCACCCGACCCCAAGGGTACGGGGGCCGTCACACCTGACCCTGAGGGCACGGGCTCTGTCCCGCCCAACCGTTGGGGCATGGGCTCCGTCTCGCCCGACAGGGACCCATATCTCCTCCAACCACTATGGGTCTGAGGGTATGACCTCGGGGTCAAACTTCTGACACCGGGAGGGAATCGGACATGTCTCAACGTGATCCGTGGCCACGTCAGGCCATGCCCAGGGGTTCACATCGCCAACAGTGACGGCTACGTGGTCGCTATGCTGCCTACTCCCCGTACGGCTGCTGACAGGCATGTCGGTTCACCACGCCGTCCGCCGGGACATGATGGGACGCCACGACCAGCTGATGACGCCGGGGCATGGGACCAGTGGTGAATAGGAGCCTGACGTGGAACCATCCCCATCACCATCTACAGCGCCGGTGGGATCCGCGTGAAGGAGAAGAAGGACCCGACGGCCCTGGAGTCCTTCTTCTCCCTGGCTTTTCTCCTTCTTTCTCTCTGTAACCTGCGCCTTCTCCTTCACCAATAAAAAGGGAAGCAGGACACCCCAAGAAGGGAGACAGCTAACAAGCACATGGCGAAACAAGCTCAGCAAGTTTCAACTCCATTTGATCTTTTCACTAGAGACTTGGGAACTTCTTCCTCTCTCGCTCGTTTGTAATCCCTACTACAAACCAGTGTCGGTAACACGAGCAGCAGCAGACTAGACGTAGGGACATTCTGCCCGAACCAGTATAAATTCTTGTGTCCTCCGAGCACACCATCTGGGCCCGACGCGCAGATACAAATTTACTAGCCGGTGATCCGATACACCGACAACTCTATTCCCAATTGCCTCTACAAATGGATCTCTAGAAATTGATTTGAGCCGCCTCTAAAAATAGGAGCTGCATAGTAAAATTTTTATTTTTCAAATGACTTTGGATGGAGAAATGATCAAAAAAAGTTGTAGGTCTCGAAAAGTTATGCAATTTTGTAGTTGACAACTTTTTTCTTTTGAATTCATCTATGCATGGAAAAATACGTTTGAAATTTTTTATATTTGAAATTCAAAATTTTGAAACGACCTCGGATATGATGTTGAAACGACCAAAACAAAAGTAGTAGATCTCGAGAAGTTATACAACTTTGTAGTTGACAACTTTTTCATCTGAAATAATCTATCTAAGGAAAATTATATGTGAATTTATCACATTTCAAATTTGATTTTTTCAAACAACCTTGGGTGGAGAAATGACCAAAATAAAAGTTGTATGTGGATCTCAAAAAGTTATGCAACTTGTAGTTGACAATTGTTTCCATTTGATTCATCTATGCATGAAAAATTACGTTTGAATTTCTTACATTTAAAATTCAAAATTTTCAAACGATCTCTGATAGAGAAATGACCAAAACCAAAGTTATAGATCTCGAAAAGTTATAAAACTTTATAGTTGATAATTTTTCATTTGAATTCGTTTAGGGTTCCAAATACTCATTTCAAAACCGGATGAATATAAAATGAGGAGAACCAATATTCAAACAAGTGTTGTATGGGTGAAGTGGTTAATTAGGGGATGAACGTGCGAGACCTAAGGTCATAGGTTTGAGCCCCCCCCATCGCAAGAAAGCGTGCAAACCGCCTCTACAAATCCATTTCATGACGGTAGAGTATATAACACGTGACACTAATCATTTGCAATCTTCCAGGCCAGATTGTCATGGACACAATAAGCTAACTAACGGATAAATGATTTGGAGATCCCACAGCTAAAAAAATTATGTTTTCTTAGCATCAAGTTTTTCTTTAAGAAAAATTATCATTATTTTTTCTTAATGCAACGCAGATGCAGCCACTCATGCACCCTTATCAAGTTATGAACGTAAGCTACTCCAACGAACAACTATGGAAACTAGCTATCTAGACCACCGTCTTGAGCCGAGGTTACAAATGTCACAGTCACAGCTGGCGTCTCATTGTTGGCAAGCATGTTTGCCTAATTACTATTGAAAGAAATGGCCTGGAGTTTAACCCATAAATATGGAGGGTGGATAGGGATTACAAATTATGTCCTTCAGCTGACAAGGTCTGATCCTGTGGTAATTTACCAATGAACTTATAAACTTCTTCATACTTCCATGCCTAAAACAACACGAACTATTTGATCTTCTTACACTATGTCAAAATAGGTCAATAGTGATGGGAGATAACACTCAATTTTGGCCGTCACACACGAGATGCATCATTAATAAATAGTAGAAAGAAATGATGGGATAGCTTTTGCATATATTGTTGGCCGTGTGATGGGTTTTATGGGACACCTGCTTCCATCCAAGGTGGGTCTACACGGAGGCTCGGTACAGGGGGTCTGCACCCCTTTTTTCGCCTTGACACCCCGTGACCCCATCGCTGAGACAATGGACCGCCGATCAATACACCCGCCCTCGCTGCTAGTGGGCCCATGTAGCCCTGGGGCCACTTGCTAAAACTAGTGTTTAGACGAGTGCATATGCATGCCTACCATTGCAATCACATGCATCTTTATGAGTTTGTGGTAGCCCAGGTGAAACGGAAAACCAAGAAGGAGCTAGGGTATTGCATGCACATATAGATACATGCATGCAATCAGAACCGAGAGGTAGGGAGGGAAGCTCTCATGGCCACACACTTACATGTCCTTTTTGCAATATGATGTCCTATACATATGACCAACAAATATGTCATTAGTTCTATAAGCAAATAAAGCTGCCATCCCCCTCCATCAGCACCAATAATCCCAATACCAACCACGTCCATTACCAAGAAAATGAAGACCGTGGTGGTCCTCTTCGTGTTGGTCCTCACACTCATCGGTGGCGAGGCAAAGAAGGCACAAGAAGACACTTGCAAAACTCTCTGTCTAGACAAGAAGCTTAAGGAGCCGGCCTGCAAGGAATCCTGCGCTCTCAACAAGCGCTTCAAAACGGTGTGGATCGAGGCTGTTCAATGCTCGTTGAAATGCAGCAAGAAGCACGGCCTTGGCTCTCCCGCCGCCAAGTCTTGCGACGAAGGATGCAAAAAAAAGTACGAGGATAAAGTGGCGGAGGTCACTGCTAGCTGCGACGCGGTTTGCAGTAAGGTGGAGAAGGACCCGCTTGGTATTGAAAAATGCAAGAAGATATGCACTCCGGCCCTCATCTACAAGGAAATTCGGGAGGCGTTGCATTGAGCTATCTATACGTCACCGGGCACCGGCTGGCCACATGTCTGGAAGGTGGTTTTTTTGCCCTTAAGGGCATGTGCTCCCAGCACACCCACCATATATGGTTAATCATTTGATGAATATGGACCAAACTACCTATTAATTTGGTATTTTCTTCTCTAATTTGGTTTTGTTCAAATCGCAATCAATCAAAGGATCCATTGATATATATGGTTTCATCGGCTGCTCGACAGGCCAGTACAATGTAATGTCACACAGTTTTGTAATTTTTTTGTTTGATTAAATAAATAAAAGGGCATGTTGGCATTTACCACTAAATAATCTTTGGCTCTATTTTCCACGCATTGAGTGAACGTCCATGATCATGCACAGATTTTCTTCTCTTATTAGGTAAACAATTTACGGATGTATGTGGCTAAGAAAGTTTACTACAATCATAAAACAAAGAAACTAGTGCGAATAGGTTGGTAAAGGGGTAAAGATGATGAAAATGCAAAAGAATCTAAAGTAATGATTTTCCATTATAAAAAATACATGCATTATTAAGAGGCAACAGACATTGGGCGTCCTACCGAATGCATGCATATCAGTGACAGAACCATCAAGATGTTTCAAAGTGGTGGAATGCAATCGCCACAACACCAACCGTGAAGATGTTTCAAAGTGGTGGAACGCAATCGCCACAACACCTGGATGACCGGTAAAAGCAATTTGATCCTTGATGCTTCTTGTGACTTGGGAGAATTATTGTTCGCCTACAGAAGAGTGGGCCTGTTAGAGTGCACAGTTAGCGACGGCGACAACGCACGTGGTGAGCACGGCTCTTGTGGTTGAGCGAGAAGAGGAAGGATCGACATGCCCTGAAGGTCCAACGGCTACACTACTGGAATCTCGCATTTTTCTATATGTGCGAAAACACATAGAAAAATGCGAATACCGTCAGAAAAATATTTTTCTGACGGTGTACCCTCAGAAAAATACCCACAGAAATATAATGACAGAAAAATTCAATTGTTCTGTGTGTTCACCGTCAGAAACAATTTTTCTGTGGGTGTTACACGCACAGAAAAATTGCGTTCGCCCAGATTAAAACTAATTTTTCTGTGTGTTAATCCACACAGAAAAAAGAAATAAACGCATAAAAAAACACATGTTTTTTCTGTCGGTCTAGGTGAACTCACAGAAAAATTCATTTCGCCCAGATTAAAAAAAATATTTATGTGTAGCCAGCCTCACAGGAAAAAAGAGTTAAACACACAAAAAAAATTATTTTAAAACAGTAGCAACAGCATATTAAAATATATATTTTCTATACAACACTTTCTGTGCAGGACCAACAAGGTTTCATTCAAATAATACACAAATCAGTAGTTCATCATGAATGGAGTCAACACTTATGTCAAAAATAGACGATGATAGGCTGCCTCCGCCTGCCCGCTGCCTGCCTGAGCCTGAGCCTGACCTCGGGGACAGGAGAAGGCCACCGGAGCTTTGCATTGCCAGCAGCAGCCCAGTCACAAGAAGCACACACAATGTATTCTGAGTTCATTCAGGTTCACGTGATGTGATTTACCTCGGTCTAGGACTCCGTCAGGAGCGGGACGACGACTTCCGTCGTGCCCAGCCTGCTCATGCTGAGAACCTTCAATCAAAGACAAGCAATACAGATCAGCAGACGAGAGGATGGTAAGCCAGACAGCATGGAACAGAGGAATGGTGGTGGTGGTGGTGAGCGAACCTTCACCTGCAGTTGGAGAAATTTGACGTATTCGATGATCTCTTCAAGCATGGATGCCTTGTCAGTCTGCATAGGATAAACGCAGGTTTCAAAAACTGATGTACTATAGTCGACTATTCTTTGACAAGAAATAGTCGAAGAGGATGCAATCGAGTACCCTGTTGGAGTTTGGAACGAGCTCCTGTAAGTTCTTCAGTTGAAACCTTTTTCTGGCAAAAAAAAACATTTATCCACTTGAATCTTCAGCATGGAATGGATTTTGTTACTTTTAACTTCGATTATTTTTTCCCTTCTAGCTTCTAGTATTTCATCACACTTCCAAGTGCATTTTTATATATCAGTTTCCATATTAACATTTATTGGAAATTGGCAGTTTGGAAATTGGCAGGACAGAATAATTATATACCTAAACAAAAGAATGTGCTATGCATTACTTCAAATGGATTAACTAGTTGCACAATACTATAGCTAATGCATCTTTTCTGTTTAGTAAGTGAAAATAAAAGAAATGCTTGAAAATTAAAGTACAAAAATGGAAGGTTAAGAGAATTATAAAGCATATTACGTTATGATTCACTATCTTATTTGATACCTCCTGCCGAAACATAATAAAATTAAGAAACATGAGTCATAATCTAGTAGATTTATTGATCAATTCAACAGTTCATCCCAAATATATAAAAAAGGACAATTTTCCTTAGCATACAGGTGATGAACTGTCAATAACTCAAAGAATAGAATGCATTTTAATCCTATAAAGAATACTCGGTACAAATAATCTCTCTGCAGTCAATACACATGCTTCGGGCCAATAGGAAGAAGTACCTCAGATGGGTGTGTAGTGAGAAAGAATCCGACAGTAGGTGCAAACTCATTCCCATGCCTAAAAGTGTTCAGATTTTAGACAAATGGTCAGTGCACTATATCATTCTCTATTAAATGAAGACATGGCATTACAGAAAAGGACATCAGAACACATTGCAAATGGAAGTAAACCAAATAGAGCATGCACACAAATACTCAACCATTTCACACAGCGCCAAACAGTTTTAAGAATGTTAAAAGGCTGGATGAAAACAATCAAGAGAAAGTGAAAATGGTAGTAACTTGGCAGCTAACTTCCAGATGTCAAACTACAAACCTAAGTACAGCAGCATGAACACTATACTACATGGTTTATATCAGCAATGCTTATATCAGCACATCTACCATACACTAAGAAAAACACTAAAGACAGCTATGATACAAATCAGAGAGCATCCTATTGAAGTCAAATGTTGAGAGAATCACACTTTGAGGTGCTACGCTAATTAGCGATTTCACAAAAAAACATCCAAATTATTGCTAAGAAATAAGGGATTTCAACAGGATAGGCATGTAGACACATAAGCATAGTAGTATTGTCAATCTAACATACTCTTGCAAGTGAATAAAATAAGTTTCTAAATAGGCCATTTGACATTGCTAACCACCTTGCAAGTGAATCATACATATTCAAATCAGATTGTTATATGGCAATAAAATAAGCTCATATTTATCAAGTGCAAGCAGTCGGTTCTTACTACTGATTTTACAGTTGGGGTCATCAAAAGTTGAGAAATCAAGTGCCAATCTCAGACTCTAAAAAGGTTGGAACAATGTTAGGCCAATTCAAAATCAGTAAGGTATGCACTAGTAGAAGTGTACAGTCTGATCATAGTGGCTTATCAATGACTCACATACAAATCATGAGGATGGCACTACCAAGAACTAATAAGTAATAACATATAAAGCAAGATACAGATCATGGTATGTACACCACAAACTTTCTATATCAGTTGACTTCAGTTTATTAATTGGACAATTATAAACACTAGGAGCATGCTTTCCTCGATTCATGTAATAAAGAAACCAAATGATTGTGCCAATCTGTCGGCACACTAGTGATCAGAGAATGAAATCGAACCATTTGTAAGTTGTAACCTACCTCTAGCTGAGAACATCCATTGAGCAATTCCTGTAGATCAGAGAAATTTACCACCAGTCCCCTACATGCACCAAGAGAGTTGAGAGAAAGCACCCTGCGTCCGTAGGAAAACGTGCATTCAATATCATAATAGCATACCGTACGACTGAAGTACCAATTCAAACAGAGCGGATGTTATACAAGCAAACAGTGAAGACATTGCAATTGACACAAGCAAGCCTCAGACGGCACACAGATCCATGTCATATGTGCCATGCCATTGTTTGCCGCAGGAAGCTTCACTCATCCTAGTTAAGTAGCAAACAGAACAAAATATCTTAAATTGCTATATCTACTTAAATGGAAATGAAAACTCACAAAATATTCCACTGATTGGGGAGGCTGGAGTAGTGGAGGTGGAGCGGCTTCAAAGCCAGCAGATCAAGATAATTCATAGGAAGTGCATGCTAAGGTGCAGGACAATTCCACTGATTGGGGAGGCTTTGCTTGGAATGCTAGAGATGGAATTGGACGACCAAATGCCAAGTCTAATGCTGGATCCAGTTGGGGTGAGAAAGATAAGATGGAGTCTGATGAGCATCTGAAAATCCCAAAAGAATCAGACACATGGAGTAATCTGCCGTAGAAGACTCCTGGGGTAATCTGGCTGCAACACCAGTGGGCAATTCAGATGCTAAGCAATCAGATTATTGGGATGGCTGGAATGTTGTGCCTGCTGAGAACTCACAAGGTACTGCTCAATGGAAAGAGATAGTTGATTCTAGTAACAAGGACTGGAAAGCAGATGGATGGGGTGCCAAATCTGGTAACCGGAGCAGCCAAAGAAACAATCCTGGGAGACCTCAAGGAGACCGGATGAGAGGGCTCCACCTCCACCAAGACAACAGTTTGAACTAACAATAGAGGAGAAGAACATTCTTCTAGAAGTTGAACCCATAATATTCCGTGTGAGAAGTTGAGTAATCTTGAGTGGTTTGTCACATGAATGCAATAACAGAAAGCTAACATGGTAGAATGGGCAAGTTTTCTTATACGAGAAAGATGTCTAAAAAAATATGTAGACCAAAATAGATGTAGGTACAGTTCAGTAATGGTCTTGTGACAATGGAAATGACTGCACATACATAGCATTTTAATACAATAGAGAATTAAGTAATGTGAAACGCTAACCCAAGATAGATTGAGAATTAAGTAATGTCAAAAGATTAGAGTTTTACCTTATTGGCAAGGATTCCAGTATCACACCACTGCAGTTGAGCGCAGCAGTAGCACTTTCAGCCTGGAAATTAAGAAACAAATGGA